TGGACTTTCTAAAAATTCATTCATATATATCTCAAAAGTATATTTGTGTTCTATGCATTGTATGTTTGTGGAATGATATGGTCTTTCCTTTAATACCAGGAAGGAAAAGACTGTGTGCAATAGTATCCCATTAGCTGCTCTGGACATTATAGTATACATCAACTATTACCACATCCTTTCGATACAGATATCACTACGATAACTTGACACTTTTAAGTCTGTTTTTTGTGAGAGTTCTTGGTAGTTGTCGCGTGGAAAGCAGTGCTGTACTTGTGTACATTGTGACATTAGAACTAAAAATTCATTGAGATATGGCTGATAGAAAGAGTCTGATAATTTGTAACGAATCTAGCGCCGATTATGATAAGATTTTCCTTAATTTGAAAGGTAAACGCAGCGCAAAATTTAGGTATTATTAATCCTTGATCGCGCAAATAGAAAATTCTTCGTTTGTTTGTTTGTTACAAATCTAAAGTATTACAATATTTAAACGGAACAACGTTACTAACGATTTGCTCCAATTCAGGTGAACGTGAACTAGTACAAAAGAAGACCTTCCAAAAATGGGTGAACTCACATTTGGTTCGATGCTCATGCCGAATTGGAGATCTGTACGTCGACCTCCGTGATGGAAAGATGCTGATCAAACTGCTGGAAATCCTATCCGGAGAACGTTTACCACGACCAACGAAAGGAAAAATGCGAATCCATTGTTTGGAGAACGTCGACAAAGCGTTGCAGTTCCTACGGGAGCAGAGGGTGCACCTGGAGAACATGGGTTCCCACGACATAGTCGACGGGAATCCGCGATTGAGCTTGGGTCTGATCTGGACCATCATCCTTCGCTTCCAAATCCAGGACATCACCATCGAAGAGACCGACAATCAAGAGACAAAGTCAGCCAAGGACGCGTTGTTGCTCTGGTGTCAGATGAAGACCGCTGGCTATCATAACGTGAACGTGAGAAATTTCAGCACTTCCTGGCGCGACGGCCTGGCTTTCAACGCCATCATCCACAAGCACAGACCGGATCTGATCCAGTTCGACAAGCTTTCCAAGGCGAATGCTATCTACAACCTTAACAACGCGTTCAACGTTGCCGAAGACAAATTGGGGCTGACTAAACTCCTCGACGCCGAGGACATATTCGTCGATCATCCGGACGAGAAGTCCATCATCACCTACGTGGTCACTTACTATCACTATTTCTCTAAGATGAAGCAAGAAACTGTCCAGGGCAAGAGGATAGGCAAGGTCGTCGGCATTGCTATGGAGAACGATCGCATGATACACGAATACGAAAGCCTGACGAGCGATTTGCTGCGTTGGATAGAGGGCACCATAGAGGCCCTCGGCGACCGTAGATTCGCCAACTCGTTAGTGGGCGTTCAGTCCCAGCTTTCCCAGTTTTCCAACTATCGGACCGTAGAAAAACCGCCTAAGTTTGTGGAGAAGGGTAACTTGGAAGTGCTTCTGTTCACGTTGCAGTCCAAAATGAGGGCCAATAATCAAAAGCCGTACACACCTAGAGAGGGAAAGATGATATCGGACATCAATAAGGCTTGGGAAAGATTGGAGAAAGCCGAGCACGAAAGGGAATTGGCTCTGCGCGAGGAACTAATCCGTCAGGAGAAGTTGGAACAGCTGGCGGCGAGGTTCAATCGCAAGGCCAGCATGAGAGAAACCTGGTTGTCCGAGAACCAGCGTTTGGTCTCCCAGGATAATTTCGGTTTCGATTTAGCCGCGGTGGAAGCCGCGGCCAAGAAACACGAGGCCATTGAAACAGACATATTCGCCTATGAGGAAAGAGTCCAGGCGGTAATGGCGGTGTCCCAAGAATTGGAGGCTGAAAACTACCACGACATCGAGCGAATCAACGCTCGCAAAGACAATGTCCTCAGACTATGGACTTATCTCCTGGAATTGTTGCGCGCCAGAAGAATGAGGCTGGAGCTGTCTCTGCAGCTGCAGCAGAACTTCCAGGAGATGTTGTACATCTTGGACAGCATGGAGGAGATCAAGATGCGTCTCTTAACCGACGACTACGGGAAGCACTTGATGGGCGTGGAGGATCTTTTGCAGAAGCATTCTTTGGTCGAGGCCGATATCAATGTTTTGGGAGAAAGAGTGAAGGCTGTCGTCCAACAGAGTCAGAGATTCCTGGAACACGGAGAGGGCTACAGACCGTGCGATCCTACCATCATCGTCGAACGCGTGCAGCAGCTCGAGGATGCTTATGCCGAATTGGTTCGACTGGCGGTGGAACGTAGAGCCAGGCTCGAGGAATCTCGCAAACTCTGGCAGTTCTATTGGGATATGGCAGACGAGGAGAACTGGATCAAGGAGAAGGAGCAGATAGTGTCGACCGGGGACATCGGTCACGATTTGACCACTATCAACTTACTGCTGTCGAAACATAAAGCTCTAGAGAACGAAATTCAATCCCACGAACCTCAGCTAATGTCTGTAGCAGCGGTCGGCGACGAACTGGTCCGTCAACAACATTTCGGTTCCGATCGTATCACGGAGAGACTGCAGGAGATTTTGGGAATGTGGAATCATCTTCTCGACCTGGCTGCCTTCAGAAGGAAGCGTTTGGAAGAGGCTGTTGACTATCACCAGCTGTTCGCCGATGCCGACGACATAGATATTTGGATGTTGGATACTCTGAGACTGGTGTCGTCGGAGGATGTTGGCAGAGACGAGGCCAACGTTCAATCGCTGTTGAAGAAACACAAGGATGTTACCGACGAGCTGAAGAATTATGCCACCACGATCGACCAGCTTCACCAGCAAGCCTCTGGTCTCGGAGAGCAAGATGCCAAGTCGCCGGAAGTATTGGAGAGACTGGCTTCCATCGATTCCAGGTACAAGGAGCTGATGGAACTGGCCAAGCTACGCAAACAGAGACTACTGGACGCTTTGTCTTTGTACAAGTTATTCAGCGAGTCCGACGGAGTTGAGCAGTGGATAGGCGAGAAGAACAGGATGTTGGAAACCATGGTGCCAGCCAAGGACATCGAAGACGTCGAAATCATGAAGCACAGGTACAATGGCTTCGAGAAGGAGATGTATGCTAACGCGTCCCGGGTCGCCGTAGTAAATCAATTAGCCAGACAGCTGTTGCACGTGGAGCATCCGAACTCCGAGCAAATAGTCGCTAGACAGAACGAGCTGAACCAGAAGTGGGCCGAATTGAGAGAGAAAGCGGATCACAAACGGGACGAGTTGAACTCTGCTCACGGTGTGCAAACCTTCCATATCGAGTGTAGGGAGACAGTGTCCTGGATAGAAGATAAGAAACGAATTCTCCAACAGACCGATAGTCTTGAGATGGATCTGACCGGTGTCATGACGCTTCAACGTCGTCTGAGCGGCATGGAACGCGATTTGGCAGCTATTCAGGCTAAGTTGGATGCCTTAGAATTAGAAGCCCAAAATATTCAACAGCAGAATCTGGAAGATCCGGAGGTCATTCGCGACAGAATCGCCCAGATACACACCATCTGGGAACAGCTGACGCACATGCTGAAGGAACGCGACGCGAAACTGGAAGAAGCCGGTGATCTGCATAGATTCTTGAGAGATCTTGATCACTTCCAGGCCTGGTTAACCAAGACCCAGACAGACGTAGCCAGCGAGGACACTCCAACTACTTTGGCCGACGCCGAGAAGCTCCTAACTCAGCATCAAAACATCAAGGAAGAGATTGACAATTACACGGGCGATTATCAGAAGATGATGGAGTACGGAGAGAGATTGACCACCGAGGCTGGCGACGGCGACACTCAGTACATGTTCCTCAGAGAACGGCTGAATGCGTTGAAGATGGGCTGGGAAGAGCTGCACCAGATGTGGGTGAACAGACAGATCTTGTTATCGAACTCGCTGAACTTGCAGGTATTCGATCGCGACGCCCGTCAAGCGGAGGTGTTGCTATCCCAGCAGGAGCACATTCTTGCGAAGGATGAGACTCCGGTGAACTTCGAGCAGGCCGAACAGATGATTAAACGGCACGAGGCGTTTATGACCACGATGGATGCGAATGACGAGAAGGTCAACTCGGTGGTGCAGTTCGCGGCCAGATTGGTCAATCAGGGCCATTTCGCTGCAGACAAGGTGAAGAAGAAGGCGGAGAACATCAATGAGCGCAGACAGATCAATCGCGAGAAGGCGAACCAATATATGGAGAAGCTGAAGGATCAGTTGCAGTTGCAGATGTTCCTGCAGGATTGCGAGGAGCTTGGCGAATGGGTGCAGGAGAAGCATATCACTGCACAAGACGAGACCTATAGGAGCGCTAAGACGGTACACAGCAAGTGGACTAGGCATCAGGCCTTCGAAGCGGAGATAGCTAGCAACAAAGACCGCCTGCAGCAACTACAGCAAGCTGCCGAAGAATTGATTCAACAGAAGCCTGATCTTGCCGAGATCATCAAACCTAAAGTGGCCGAATTAGCTGATCAGTTCGAAGAACTTGAAACGACCACTCATGACAAAGGCGAACGCCTGTTCGATGCTAACAGAGAAGTCCTTATACATCAGACTTGCGACGATATCGATTCCTGGATGAACGAACTGGAGAAACAGATCGAGAGCACTGACACAGGATCGGACCTTGCGTCGGTGAACATTCTCATGCAGAAGCAACAGATGATCGAGACGCAGATGGCTGTAAAGGCCAAACAGGTCACCGAACTGGATAAACAGGCTGAACACTTGCAGCGCACTGTTCCAGACGATAAGATGGAGGAGATCAAGTGCAAGAAGGAGAAGGTAGCGCAGAGATTCGCTCAGCTGAAGGCGCCTCTGATAGATCGTCAGCGTCAATTAGAGAAGAAGAAGGAGGCGTTCCAGTTCAGACGTGACGTGGAAGATGAGAAACTCTGGATCGCTGAGAAGATGCCGCAGGCTACCAGCAGTGAGTATGGAAACTCCTTGTTCAATGTACACATGTTGAAGAAGAAGAACCAATCGCTACGTACTGAAATCGACAACCACGAGCCCAGGATCAACTTAGTCTGCAATAACGGACAAAAACTGATTGACGAAGGACATGAAGACAGTCCTGAGTTCCAAAAACTGATACCTGAATTGACTGAGAAGTGGAAGGAGCTGAAGGACGCTGTGGAAGATAGAAACAAACATTTACTTCAAAACGAAAAGGCTCAGCAGTACTTCTTCGACGCGACCGAGGCCGAGTCCTGGATGAGCGAGCAAGAATTATACATGATGGTCGATGATCGGGGCAAGGATGAGATTTCTGCCCAGAATTTGATGAAGAAGCACGAGTCCTTGGAGCATGCTGTTGAAGATTATGCAGATACTATTCGCCAGCTTGGAGAGACCGCCAGGCAGCTGATCAACGATCAACATCCACTGGCTGATCAGATCGCAGTGAAACAATCACAGGTAACTATGTGTAGTATATATGGTAGATGCTCAGAGAAAGTTTTGTTCGAAGGGCAAATGAAAAATTAAATATTATTTCTGTTTTACATTTTCCATGTCTAACATATATCTGTGTACAAACATCTACATTCTAACTATGATTACTTTGTTAATTATAAAATCATGTTACAAGCACATGTTTTGTAATAGGTCGACAAACTATACGCCGGACTGAAGGATCTAGCCGGCGAACGACGAGCCAAGCTGGATGAAGCACTTCAGCTGTTTATGTTGAACAGAGAAGTAGATGATCTGGAGCAGTGGATCGCGGAGAGAGAATTGGTTGCGGGAAGTCACGAATTGGGCCAGGATTACGATCATGTGACCCTTCTTTGGGAACGATTCAAGGAATTCGCTAGAGACACCGAAGCGACAGGATCCGACCGCGTGGTAGCGGTGAATGGAATTGCCGATTCGTTGATCGCCGCTGGACACTCCGATGCAGCCACTATCGCCGAATGGAAGGATGGCTTGAACGAAGTCTGGCAAGACTTGCTGGAGTTGATCGAGACACGTACGCAGATGTTGCAAGCTAGTAGAGAGCTGCACAAGTTCTTCCATGATTGCAAGGATGTCCTTGGAAGGATCCTAGAGAAACAAAACGCGATGTCCGACGAACTTGGTCGCGACGCTGGTTCTGTGTCCGCTCTCCAACGAAAACACGCAAATTTCATGCAAGATTTGTCCACTCTACAGAGCCAAGTGTCTCAAATCCAAGAAGAATCCGCCAAGCTACAAGCAAGCTATGCTGGCGACAAAGCTAGAGAGATAACGAATCGCGAAGGAGAGGTAGTAGCCTCTTGGAATAACCTACAGTCTTTGTGCGAGGAAAGAAGAGCAAAATTAGAAGACACCGGCGATCTCTTCCGCTTCTTTAACATGGTCAGAACTCTGATGATATGGATGGATGACGTTGTACGTCAGATGAACACCTCTGAAAAGCCTCGAGATGTTGCCGGAGTCGAGTTACTAATGAACAATCATCAGAGTCTGAAGGCTGAAATCGATGCTAGAGAAGACAATTTGCTGGCGTGTATTAATCTTGGAAAGGATTTGTTAGCTAGGAACCATTATGCTAGTACTCAGATTAAAGACAAGTTGGCTGCCCTCACTGATCATAGGAATGCATTATTGCATAGATGGGAGGAACGTTGGGAGAACTTGCAACTCAGTATGTGTTGAACACGATACTATTGCTGGCAGAAAGTATTCGATAAAACACAACCAAAGTTTCTATCATCATAACTTCTTGTATATTCAATATGGGAGCTATTTTCATTCATATTAAAGACAATGTCTAATTCCCGAAGTAGTGTATAGTTTTAGTTTCGCCTGTGGAAAATATTTTGATCGAATATATTCTATCAGAAGCAATAGAATACTACTTATCGTAGAATTATTAAGCTTCTTACAAATAATTCGAATACTTCGTAAATTTTAGTTTTGGAAGTCTATCAATTTGCTAGAGATGCAGCGGTTGCAGAGGCATGGTTGATCGCCCAGGAACCGTATCTGATGAGCCAGGAACTTGGAGTAAGTGTTTGACGAAATTCGTCTAATTTATGCTATTTATAATTTAACCGATTAAAGTCACTATATCTTGTCGACAAAATTACTCTCAATACTGCAACATTTAAAAACTTCGCAATCAAGATTCATGATAAAAAAAGAAATATCAATTACTTTAATGAACAGTAATAACAAGAGAGACTTGAGAAGTGTATTTATCTTACAATTATTTACATTTGATTGTAAATTGTTACAGCATACCATCGACGAGGTTGAGAATTTGATTAAGAAACACGAGGCCTTCGAAAAATCGGCAGCTGCACAGGAAGAAAGGTTTAGTGCCTTGCATCGACTTACTACGGTTAGTAACTACATAAACTTTGCGTACTGGTCGCAAAGGTTCTAGAATAACATTTTAAGTTGATAATTATAGAATTGATTTATATCGAAATTTCATCATGTATTATATAGTTTGAGTTGAAAGAATTGAAGAGGAGGGAGCAAGAACGAGAAGAGGAAGAGAGACGCAAGAAGGAGGAAGCTGCGGCAGCTGAAGCAGCTCGGTTAGCTAAAGCAACCCCAGTTACTAGTCCAGATGAACCGCCCAGTGAAAGGTATTTCTTATTTCCGAATTTCTGTCTACAGCATGGTCATAAACAATAAATATCATCATCTGACACATAGTTTTTGTTGTGATAATCGATAGATAACTTATACGAAAAGAAGTTAGAATCTATTGAACAGTATTATTATAAAAACAACATTATTGGTTTATGAGGTTTATTTTGTGTAGCATATTAATTTCTAAAACACAATTGTAACTATTGATTTCATATAGAAGCATAAAGTAGAAGTCTGCCTAGAACATAATAGAATTATGGTGCAGTGGACAGTCAGAAATAGTACTTGGAATTACTTTGATTTATTGTTTATATGGAAACAAAAATTAATTTGATGTTTTTCTATAGAGCCGAAGCAGAAGGTGTAACCAGTGGAGAACGTACAGTTGGTGAGGACGAATCGCATGGTAAGACAACTCTGTTTATTGTGCGACATATTGGAAAGCAGTTTGATAAGAGTTTCCTACTTATCAGAATGCATTGGGTTCGAGTAATAATACTTTATTCAAAAACGGTGATGTTTCCAAAAGGATAGGATCTTGTTGGTAATTTTAATTTTTCCGGCAGAGGTGGGCAAAATCTTTCTCTGCATATGAAACAATGAGTTTGGAATTATGAAACTCACATGCAAAACCGTTTCATATTATTCTTAGTCACTATCTTGTTTAAATAAAATCTCGTCTCTGTCAAGTTGCGAATAATAATCAGATTGCGAATTTCTATGCAGAGTAAATTTTTTTATATTATCATTCTGATTATTATTCTATATATATTTTCTTTTTTTTACTTTTTTTTTGTTGTATTACTAATACAATGTGTATCGTACGTTTTTGCTTTCCACGTATCTTGTACACTTAACTCTTAGGCGACTGGTTTTACAAACTGGTTTGTTTGGATAAGCATGAAATTGCTAACAGCACGTTTATTTTTGCCTCTCTGTTCCCGACCCTGTTTTCGAAATTATATCCGTCCCGATTGCAATCCGTTTTTCGAATCCCTTCTAAATGCACCCTAAAATGCGGCACGGAATGCACAAACCACAGTGGCACACCGCAAGGCTTCTACACGTACGCCCCTGCCTCAAGACAAGCCCAAGGAAGGTGAGTGTCCTGACGATATAAATCTTGCCCTTAATGTGCTTACAGGTGTTTTCTTTTCAAATTGTTTTTACGAAACACAATCATTTTTATCCGTTGTTAACAGTATTACAAGAATGATTACACACCATAAACTTTGGTGCACAATCAAACCATATTCCGCATATTTTTTGTTCTATCACATTATGTGCCAATAATTCACATTTGTTATCTTTTGATTTTACATGTTTATGATTATCGAGTGTAAAGGGTTGCAAAATATTTTTCAGACTATTCAGAGAAAATGCTAGAACTAGATGGTGCATCGTGTATTAATTATGTTGTTCATAATTATTTATGCCACTCTGTTAAATACCTGTATCTTACGAAAAATTACAGTCGTACGAAACAACGCGTTGCTGCAAGTTCATTTCGAGTTGCTTTATTCTATCGTTCCAATACCAACACCCTGGTATTTGATAGTTGCGTCATATCGAATTTTGTGCATACATAATAGTACAGATCCTGCTATATCGATTCTTTAAGCTGGTGGCGGAGCATACTGCTAAATCATTTCTTCAGCATTTTGGAACTGTGTCTTTTGCCGTCTCTTCTCACATTGAAAATTCGAACCATGCTGTGTACTTTACATACATCACTCAATTAATAATAGTAATCTCAGGAATACGAATTGTGATCTCTAAGTAGAAAAAGGTTCTTCACAGGATGGATCGATAAATGAATTACACTCTATTTTTGCCACTTTCAGCATATGCATAGGTCTGCTGCAGCTATCGCTACTAATTACAGTCTGTTACTTGTTCTCTGGCTTTTATTAACTATTAGTAGGTGACGGAGTTGCTCTACCTGCGATACAATACAATCATTTATTGAAACTGATATTATTTGGTGCACCGATTAACTGCAACTGAAAATTCAACTTCATTCCTCGATGTTCTGAATATGAAACACTAAGCAGTATTGTTCTCGGTCATTTCCCGCAATGAAATCAATTTTTTGTTCAAAGGTAAGCGAGTGGAGTACTTGAATGTGCTGCGAACGATTAGTTGAGCTTACTTGTGCATGCATAGTAAATCATAACATCAGCTAATGGCTTTTCTCTCTGTCATCGATCTCTTCTTATCTTTCTTTAACTATTACACTCACATTGGTTCTAATATGTAAAATATTCTCTTTTCTACGATAAAATATTCTACTAAAATAAAATATTGCGAAGGGCATCGTCCAAAACAAAGTTATCGATTTAAATCAAACTTGGCATATAATAAGAAATCGAAATATATTCGTTACACATTTGTTTTTTATAGCTGATTGTTCTTATGTTCAGAGAATAAATATAACTCTCAATGGAGATAGAAAAAGTATTGAATACAAAATGAGCGCCTTTTTTGTGAAGTACAAGATGACGTGACCAATATTTTTAAAGAATCATAGATTGTGCTAGTGTAAGCTCGTATACGACTCTCCTTCCTGTTAATAACTTTTAAACGAATGAATATTTTTTATTAAAAATTTGATAGTATGGAATACATACGAATATAATGAACATAATTAATTTTTAGTTATATCAAATCATATATAAATGGAAGGTTTAGATACAAAAATATGGGAGAATTCTATTTCGAATTACACTTTTAAATAATTTGAAAAAGTTGAAAATGAAATATAAGAGATATTCATTGATTTAAAAAATATTAACACAAGAAATAGTCTACGTAGACGTAATCTGTAAATCTTTAAAAAAGAATTGATTAATGTCACGTTATTCTTCGCAAAAGAGTGATTAATTTTTAGATTTAATTAATTTTCGAGATATTCCACATAAAACAGATTTCCTATTATTAATTTCGTGGGTCATTTCAACCCGTAAATATAAATACAGTTCATAAAAAATACATGTAGAACATTTTCCACTACTCCGTATGTATACATACATATGTATACCCAAAGTTCGAATTGGACGGTGTCCCACGCATAAAGTAATCTAATTTTCTTTATTAATTACATTAATGATCCTAAGCTTTATTATTCACCTCAGTTTTATGAAATAAAATTATCTACCTTTTCTCAGTATTGAATTCGATAAATATAGCATGTGTAAAATTGGTGTGTGGTATAGTGCATGCTCAGAAACCTGCACGTCTATCCATACGAGGAGGACCATCATCGCCTACCACCCCCTCGCCTACGAAATCTCCGCAAGGTGTATCGATTCCTACAAGTAAGTTCACTTTAAGGATTACAATTCTCTTTATTCGTCTTTTAAAAAAGAAATGAATTAATTTAATTGCAACAAAATATGGCACCTTCCCGATATCATTTCTATCCGAAACTTCAAAATTTAATAGAAAAATATCTTAATAAATAAGAAAGAACAAAACAGCTTTCAAAGTATCAGTTTAAACAATATAACTTTCTCCGGAGATTTATGCGAATTTACATGTTATGATTTCTACCTAAATAGTTCGTCAATTGCAACACAATTGCAAACACAGCAAAGATAAATGAAAAAATGATCGATATTTAAAACGAACAATATGTGAATTTTCACCTGTGAAGCATATGATGGTTAATAGGATTTTGGTAGATAAAATGTTAAGTATTATTGAAGCTCACATTTCAAACTTTTTCAAAGATTTCTATGTTATAAATTTATACATTTCTTCGGTGTATTAATAGCTGATCCTCGGATGAAAAAAAAAGAGAGATGCTATGCTCGTAGGGTACAGTTCTTGTATTATCTATGATTACGTGGTGCTAAACAAACGAGACCCCTCCTCTGATGTATACATTCTTTCCCTCGGACCATTCGGACAAGCATTGCCATACTGATCCCCGAAAATGCAACCCTCCACGATCCTCAGGGTCTCGTCGACGGATCTTGCCAAACACTGTTCGCCGATTGAGACGTATCTGATTAAATGCTTCTTATCGATTATGAACAAAGCCTTCGTACAGATGCCTTCCTGCTGATCGAGCACCCCATACGACTTCGATATCGCGTGGTTCTTGTCGGAAACCATGGCCATCTTCATTTGTCCCAAACCACCCTGTTTTCGCGGGGTTAATACCCATGCGAGATGGCAGAATTGCGAATCCGTAGAAATTGCTATTACCTCGCAACCTTTTATGTTCGAAAAGAGCACATATTAAATTGATATTTTCATAGAGTGTCTTTCAGAATTGAACATTTCTTTACTGTCACATCCAGGACGGTAAGGAAAAATAGCCAAATGCGGAATACCATTTTATTTTTCGAACATGATTTTTACGAATTTTTATATTAAAGATGCTGTTATTATGTAATCACATTTCGAAAAGATTTAATTAAAGATGTAGTTCCTTGTGATAATTACGCATCGAAACGTTAAACATTGAATCAGCAAAAATTTCGAGCAACGACAAAATAAAATCGAATACTATTTCACAGTTGGCTAATGCCCTTTATCGATCGTAGGAACTCTTTGTTTTAAATCATCAATATTCATATATATATATATATATAATTATTTATTTTATAATTATTTATATATATATATATAAAATATATTAATTATAATAAATAAATATATTAATTAAAATATATATATATTTATATATATATTTAAAACATCAATATTCATATATTTTAATATTAACAAATATTTGAGGACATCAATTTTAAGAGAATTAAACGGACTTCGCTAGATCTATCACTGTGTACCTTTTTTATGAAATTCTCCGAGACGATCATTGAACTGTATTATTTCCGTCGGACAAATGAATGTAAAATCATATTGGTAAAAAAGCATAACCAAATATTTCCCTTTGTAATTGTCCAGCGACAAATTTGTCAATTTCATGTCAGTGACCGCGACAGATGACCAAAACGGCGCAGGACTTAATATCGTAGGTACTAAATGAAACTCGGGTTCCTTCAATTTCGATGGCTTTTCACAGCAAAAGAAATTCTCGACTAAACTATTCTCGCTGTCATGCGGTCCGAGAGTAGACATAATTATTCCCTCGCAAATCTTCTCTAAATCTACGTCGAAGGACATGAACACTGCCAGATCTATCTTTTGTCTTATGGAACAAAAGTTAATCTTAGGAAAAATATACAGTGAACAGTTAGTTAATCGAACGCTGATCAATAGCAAGTAAAACTGCATACGATTCAGAGATCTTTTCACGAATTTACAGTCACGGTAGTTATATACAAAATGTTTGTTACATAAAAAAAAATCAAGTATTTTCTTGGAGTTTGGGACCGGCTTCAGTTGCATGTGCGAATTTTCAAAAGAAATAACTTTAATCACGAAATGGCAAGCTTTTGGGTTCAGATAGAAAGCTAAGAAAGTAGAAAAAGAAAATTTCAATTTTTGTCAAACCGCCAGCCTCTAGTTCCCTCCCATAAAAATGGTCGGAGAGGTTTTAGCGTTCCCGCATGAGCATGTTGTGTATGTACTTAAGTGTTTTGTTTCTGCATAAGAACGTCGAACCTTGGTAGATTACTACGGTAGCGATTAAAATACCTTCGTCCGATTCGAACGATTGCACAAAATTAAGTCGAATGATGAGAGGCGAGAGTAAGTAGCTAATAATCACATGTGTGTTGCGTGTATCGTTTGAAAGCTCCAAAAGGTGGAAGCGGTTCCGAATCTGGTACATTAAGACGTAAGGAACGTAGTCGCAGCAAGTCGCCATTCAGAAGTTTCCGCTGGAGAAAATCCGCCAAGTCGCCGAGTTTAGATCGCAGTGGCGTGAGTGATGATGAGCGCAGCATATCTGGTAAGCAATCAACATCGGTCTCTGGACAGTTCCTACTTTTTTCCCCCCTGGTCTCTCGATCGTAACACCCACCGCTTCATCTGTCCACAGAAAATGTCGACGAAAGTCGCAAATCGATCATAATGGAGATTAACACGTTCGTAGAATATTCTTGTCACGACTAACTCGACGAATTCTTTGTTATCCAGGTATAGGGGGTGTCTTGAAGAAATCTCGCACGACGCCGGAGAACCACTAATCCTTTTATTTTCAGCATTGGAACGATATTTTTTTTTTTCTCTTTTCTTATACTCCGAAGAATTTATAAAACTAAATCACTTAGGGTATACTATTATTAACAATAACATTAAGTTTAGTTGCATCCTACTAAAACTGTATGTTTGTTTGGTATATGAACTGCATTCAGCATCCTTTAACGTACCCGGTAACTATTCAATAATCTTCCTGTTTAAAGTTTGTTATCGATCACTGTGCTCTACACATGTTCAAGAGGGGATTGGGTCTGTCTGTATTACAAAGTAGCTTCGACCAGCCATTGTGAAACAATTATATCAAGGTGAATTTCATTTTTCAGAACAACGAAGTCCCACCGACGACGAATTCGAGGGTGTATTGCAACGAAAGCACGAATGGGAGAGTACAACGAAGAAGGCATCTAATCGGTCCTGGCACAAGGTGTACATGGTCGTTCGCGGGCAAAGTCTGTTCGCATACACGGACCAGAAATCGTACAAGTCTGCGCCTGATCAATCTTATAAAGGAGAAGCTCCTCTAGATCTCAGGGGCGCTACCATAACCGTGGCGAATGATTATACCAAGAGGAAACATGTCTTCCGAGTAAAGTAAGTCTTCTAGATAATTAATGGATTAGTAGTAACATTAAATCATGATTACGGATGGATCCATAGTCCCGGACCAAAAATAGACTATCAGGTCGACTGGGTAAACATAAGATAAATCATAAATGAATAAACAAAATTATTAATGGGTGCATTATTAACATTAAGTTAATGTCAATTATTCGTTAAAACCTACAACTTCCAGCAACCTTCTTCTATGTTGTACTGATATTGTTAAAAATGCACTATTTTGTATTTTTCTATAATTTTTTGAATAAAATTAAGGTTGGTATTCTAAGGGAAAACACCTAGAGGCTAAGGAAAAAATGAGTTCAATGAGCAAACGAAGGGTTTGTTATGTTTGATTAGCAGATTATCTGTATAAGTATTATTTTTAACTTTATTTATGATTTAATTCGTAAAGTTGAATGTTTTAAAATTTAATATTTGAAAAATCGAAGGCGTTGGGGTAAAGGTAGATATTTAATGAACAGAAAATTTTCTAATACTGAACGGATATTTTACAGGTCGCAAAGCGGATCAGACTTCTTGTTCCAGGCCAAAGATGACACCGAGATGAATGAATGGGTCACGGCACTGAACCAATCAGCGCAGGGTGCATCGGGCGCAAGCACATCCAGGGCACACACCTTGCCCGCGCCAACGCAAGCCGAGACCAAGAGACGTAGTTTCTTCACTCTCAAGAAAAAGTGAGTTCAGAGATAGAAATATCTGAAGGGTATGTCGAGGTATTCCCACGCGTTCTTCTATGGTATATCTAACGATAACGGCAACATATCATGCAAAGTAACGAGACTTGGGAAACTTGAGATGGAAACGGAGCATCTTTTGTCCACATGCTTTGCCCTGACATATTATTGTTTCTCATTGTTCATCTTGCGGCTCGAGCACTTTCATATAATATTCATGAGTCCACTCATTCTCCTTGTACAGCATCCAAGAGTGATCCTTGATAAAGGAGGTGATTCGAGATTTTCAAAATTACACTGTAAGAAAAAAATAATTTCTCGTGTGAACTGTCTATGTCAACTTGGCGGAACTGCAGTCGAACACAATGTTTGTTTCTGTTATTAATAATGAATATAATTAATAAAATATAATTAATATAATTAATTAATATATATGATTAATATAATTAATAAATTTTGTGCTTACTGGTTCTTTCCTGACAAGCTAGGAATGTGTACAGATCTATGGTCTACTTAATCTTCATTTGTACACAAGTTCCTATTTTTCACTAAATTATTTACACTTACATTTTGATTTACGAAAACTAAAATTACTGACATTAACAAGGATCCATTTACTGTACACAGTACTTAAATGATTCTTGCTACCTTATCCATACTTTCATCGCCCATCTACACATGGTAAGAATCATATAAGTGGTTTGTACAAGCTGTATCTTATGTTAACATCATTGTCTATCATTAGTCATTTCTTTCACAAGAACACTGTCACTGACCAATTGTTAACATGATTAATGTTAATCGATTATTGTTGTTTGCTCGTTTTGGGACGCCGTGTAAAAAGGTACTTTTACAGGGTAACGCTGTTTGTTGACTTGGATTAAATTGTATCCTATTTGTATTGATTGCCCAGTGATCTAATTGGTTTATCTATCTGGTTGTGTATATGTATATTTGACTGCTAACAAGAAGAAACGTAATGATGGTGTCACCAATTTCAATCAACTACGTACTTGTTGTGAATTCAGAGCAAAAATAAGTAACTATAAAATATAGAATGTTTCACTTAATGTTTTCATCGGTAGCTGCAAGAAAAAAAAAAATTAAAATTCTTTAAAAAACTTCTTATACTCCTTTATTGACAACTAAAAACCTACAACAAAAATACGCAATTACATTCTAAATTGTGTGATGATTCTTATGTTACTTGTATTGTCTACTTTCTAATGACTGTTACAATTTATACTGTTACATTTATTCAGAACATAAAAATTGTATTTTCATGATGTAGAGAAGAAATATTAATTTTATCATAAGCTTTCATGTTATTGTTATGATAAAAAGATCTTTATGGATGCATAAAATTTCAAATTCGTTTATTTATTATTAAAAAATGTAATTTTGAATTTTGAAATGTCAAAATTTTAAATATGAAATGCGATTAAAAACTATATGCATTTATATGAACGTTGCTATATGTGTCGGTTTATCTTTGCTCTATATTCACCAGAAAAAGTTCAGTTGAAACCAGTGATCTCATTGTTGTTAACTTTCCCTTATACATGTATAATGATGTACGTTCGAAGGTGTAGGTGTACTTTTCATACAATTACTTAACTTCTTTCTTTTGAATATGATTGAATCATCTTCAAAAGGAGTGGCAGGTGGTCACCTCGGAGCATTAAGAAAACGAAATAAGAAATTTCGGAGCGAGAGATTCGAGGTGCCTTGCCAGTTATTACCATCACACGGCCAGCGCCTGACAGATGTCCATTTTCATTCGATCATGTTGCATTTATCATATTTTAGAAAAGCCAAAAAGTAGAAAGTGAAACCAATGAACGTAACGAAAACAGTACACACAATTGGAACAACATTTAGTGATTGCGGTGAGTCGCACAACAAATCCTAGATCATTCACCGTCTTACCATTGCACGATTCGTTGATTAATCATCGTATTTCCAATTTTTTTTTTTTTTTTAAGTTTGTCTTTACATATTATACATTTTTATTTATTCATTATGATTAGCATAACACGATAAGTACCAAAAGGAATGTTCTTCCAATTGTGAATGCGGAATGATTATCAAGGTTCTTTCGACAGGAGAACATTGTATGTGCTTAATGTGTTTCATATGCGCGTCAAAAACTCCTTTCATTTCTATAAAACATTTGAAGTCGCTGGTTACAGTCATATTTCGTTATCCGTTATGTGTAGTACACGTACAACTATCTTACGGGTCGTTCCATGCCAAACGGATCACTTTTGTACCTCGAGGTGAGGAATTTTTATGATATTGAAATATGTTGTAGCCTATATGCAATTGGGGAGAATTTAAATCATCATTTTTCTAATTGCGGAATTGTTTAAGAGTTAGAAGCCCTCAAAGTTTCTAGCTTTTGCTGATATTTACAAAAACTGCCTTCACGTTTGGAGGTCTCCGAAACTATTAAAGATACACTGTTACGATTTTTTTTGGCAATCTTGAAAGATATACGTACTGAAAAAATTTTGTTTGAATCTAAATGAATATTTTTGGAATGGAGATAGGAGTGGTCACGGAAGATGAACATATTGTTTTCAATTTTACGGCACATGAAATGATATTCTTTCAGATGCGAACAAAATTTTTCCAGTATGTATATCCTTCAAGATTACCAGAAAAATCGCAACATTATATCTTTAATAGTTTCGAAAATATCAAATCAAACGTGAAGACAGTTTCCGTAAAAATCAGCAAAAACTGGAAACTTTGGAAGCTTCTAACTCTTAAACAATTTCGAAATTAGAAAAATGATGACTTAAACCCTCTCTAATTACATATAGACCACAATATATTTCAA